TGGTGACTGTGTTGAGTCCTTCTGCTCCCTTCCTCTGTTGTTCTGTTAGTACTCTTAAGATCTCCTTCACTGTCCTTCCCTGCATCTCCTTTCTCTGGTTAGGGTGGTCCCCTTCCTCCCTTCCTTTGTTGGGTCTGTTGCTGGCCAGGCGCGTTGGTACCGCGTCTGGCTGGCCGCCCCCATCTCCTTCGCGCTGCACTCCCTGCATCGCTGCCATCGCGGTGTCGTTGGGTGCGGCTCGACTCGCTGATTCTAATAGTATTGTTCTTAGTATTTTTCAACTAGTTTCTTAGATTTCAATAGAATGGTGTTCTTTTTCTAATAATTATAGAAATTAGTAAGCTATTAGCGTGTCTCTAAATCCTCTCTTAAATTAGCTTTAATTAAGACCTAAATTCTAGGGTGTTGCTTAGTATTTTAGACTCCTACGTACTATTGTCTATAGTAGGTGGTGTTAGCGTACGCAGCTATACTTTAAGCTTTAATAGCATAGCCTCTATGTTAAGTAGGACTAGGCCAGCACCTCTAAATCCTCCCTAGATATTGCTCTCTGTAATTAAGGCGTCAAAAGCCGCTTTGAAGCACAGCAAGAACTTAAGTTTGGTGATGCGAGTAATCTTGCTGTGCATTTGCTGCTTAGCTTAGCAGCTATAGGCCTTCTTTAATAGGGCAAAACAGCCTACGTCAAGTGGCTGCAGTAGGTGCGACAAGTGTGGAGGCATACACAGGGTAAGAATCTTGTGTTCCTTGCAGTACTAGTAGAATTTAACTAAGTTATGGCTCTTATAGCTGTCTAGAACAAGCAGCTAATAGCTACTAATAGTGCGCGCCTTTGTGTGCTTATTAAAGTGCTTTAACTACTTAGCTCTAAGCTTGTTATTAGTCTAGCTATTGTTAGAGATATTAAGAACCTAGTTATTAGGTATACTAGGCTCCTTATACTAGGCAGAGAGGTGGTGCTTGCTAGAGAAGATAATAAAGGGTAGGATAGACTAGCCCTTTGCGCAGATACCTTAGATAATACTAGTCCACTCTTAGTTGCCCTACTGCACTACCTTTAGTATCCCTTAACGCTTAGAGCCTATAACAACAGCTCCTATTAATATAACACCTAACGTAGTTCACAAGCGAGCGGTCCAACCCAAGCGAGTGGTCCACCTAACAGAGTTAAGATGATTGCAATGCATATGCTGCAACACCACCACCACTTACTGCAATTTGCAGGTGATAGAGATACTATTTAGACT